ACACCCATCGTTTCTCCCACGTGCCATATACACATTCCTCTATCCCTAAGTTATTAACACTGTTATCTTCGCCCATAAGAATCCACCTGCTTCGAGAATTGGGCTATCAAATACAAATACTCCCATAAATCACGTTTTAACTATCGATTTTTTTATAGAAAATTTATAAATTAATAATAAAAAAATTGAAAGAGAGATCACAACAGCTCCATGGAAACGTCCGTACCGTATCATTTGCAAGTGGTAATCGATAATAAAACGACAAAAGAAGAGACTTGGAAATGGATTATGCTTTGCTTCACAAGGGAGGAGAAGAGGTGAGGGACGGACGGAGGGCCCACAAATAGCCCACTGAGGGGAAGAAGGGGAGCCCACCTAGCTGTGGGATTTTGACAGTGTTATAACAATTGCCAATGAGACTGACTAATCTAAATCTAAATCTAAATCTAAATCTAATCTAACCTATTACAGGTCTACAATTGCTGTTATGTTCGTTCCTCGTAAACTGAAATATTCGTCTCCTAGCCGTAATTTATAGCCACGTGTTCGGTCAGATAATCTGGCATCTCTCCTGTGGGTCCCACCCCACCGACCATTCACTTAGCTCTGTCTCTTGTTGTTTGCTTGTCCCCGACTCCTCGCCACCCTCCTCGTCTGCGCTTACCACATTTCAAATCTATCGTTTTCATCTGTTCATACTTTCTTTTTTTATTTTCTTTTATCGTTCTTTTTTAAACAATTTTTTTTTGTTGTTTTTTTCCGGTCAAAAAGTAACGTTTTCTCAAGTACGTTACATTTATTAAGGTCTAACAATCAATTCAACAACCCTCACAATCAAATAATTAAAATAATTAATCTCACCTTCCTTCATACAAAATTGTTAAAAATTAATTTATCAATTTCGTTTAGAAAATATTAAAACCTCTAATAAATACAAAATTTATTTTAAAAAATCACTTAATATATCAAATATCCCATTACAAAATTATTTGAAAAAACCCCTAATATGGGCATTCTATATTTTCTTAACAAGGTACATAAATTTAATTTTAGGCAATATCATATAAATCCATAATTAAAATCTATATACATAAACAATTAGATAAATTTTTTTTATCATCAGGTTTTTCAGATTAGTTTACTCATATTTCAATTAAACTTTTGAAATCTGAAACTGTTGACTCGACTAAGAGTCTTAGTAACCAACCTTATTAAAATTGAAAAAATTTAAATCTAAAACGCATAGAACCTTCTCTTGTTCTTTACCACATATAATAATGAAATAATTTGATATTTTTAAGTATATAAAAGTAATAATTGTTGTCCATAATCACAACCATATTGTTTTTTATTATTATTAGCGTTATTCTATAGAAGTAGTTAACGAATAGTTGCCTAAAAAGTGATGCAGGATTTTATAAACTGTCGTGAATGGCCATTCATGAAGCAGCAGAAGAAATAGAATTGAGTCAGCCATCGAAATTCTCTCTGGAAGTGGGAATGTCTGATTCTTTTCTTAACAGAAGATGCTTGTCTTAACAACGTACGTTTCCGGGCACAGTTTTCTACATATTTCACTTTTACTTTTTTAATTATTCAGTGTTTTCTTTGACTCATCTCAATTTGACCGGTCAACTTTCTTGACTCTCCCCCCGGTCCCACCTTCATGTTTATGTTCAACCAAATTTGCGGTGCTTCTTGTGATCATCAAATTCTCCTAATTTAACAATAAAAATTTAATGAATTTCTGAACATTATTTTAAAAAGTAGTGTGAAGAATATTGTTTTTCTGTTTCATGCTTTCAATGGATTATATTAAAAATGTGTGCAAAAACTCGAAGCTATATCTTCATTACTGAAAACAAATCTATGACGAACGAAGGAAACTTCTTAAAAGAATAATTTTTGCGTGCTTCTAAAAAACATTTTTATATTCTGTTTTTTGAAAATAGGGAAGGGGAAGGAGCTAGAGATAGACGTAGCCAAAGCAAATTCCGCAGAATCCAAAGGCAATCAAAGTGGGTTCAATGATTGTTTGTTTATTATTTTCCCACTTCTGACAGATGATGACAGGGTAGAATTCTGGTTGGAAACATTGATTTTCTCGCCAATTCCAAGAATCTTGGTCCATAAATGGCAATTTTCTCGAGAAAAAAAGAAAGAAAGATAAGAAAAGAAAATATCAAAACCCTTTGATCCCATCTTACATTTGATTATTGGGTGATCATAATATGAGTGGATCGCATGTGGATTGCTAGTTTGCTTGATTACTTCTCTTTTGATCGCGCCATGTGTGAATAACAATATGAATATACTAACGTACACAGATGCGCTTTAATAATTTTCTTATGTTTTTTTAACTCAAAAGAATGACTCTTGGAAGACTGACTGAATCATATATTAAACAATCAATGGTGTTCTGTACTCCAGTATGTTTAGAAAAAGATAATATTTATTATTACATATGGGCATAGCCCACTATTTATAATTAATTATTCCCTGAAAATGAAGGTGATTAAAAGATAATACAGTTCCATTTCTCATGCAATTTACGAACTTATAAAAAGGTTTCAATCAGTTTTTATGTAATTATCCAACGGAGATTAGTTTTTTTTTTTTTTTTTTTTCAGTCAAAGTTGGTCAAATAGACTTGTGATGTGAAGCTTTGGCAGTGAACGCGTTCAAACTATGAACATATAATAATAAAAGCAAACAAATTGATGTCCCAAACCAAGACAGACGTAGACATCGATGGATCTATGAGTCAATATACAGCTTCATCCATGATGTGACCATTTAGATACCCTACCCATATCACCAACCACATTCTTTTTCTCTTTAAGAAATTCTACTCTTTGTACCAAATTAGCTATCGTAGGTGGCCTGGTAATAAAAAGAAAAAAAAAAAATGATTGAGTTTTACTGATGATAAAAAAATAAGAGAATAATGTAAAATAGTCTCCTAAATAGGAGAATCTAATATGATCTCACAAGTTAGAGTTTATTAATAGTAAAAGAGTAAAATAAGAGTCCTTACAACTGCTAATAGATGTGATTATTAAGCTCTTACTCAACTAAAATCTCAGAAGATTAGTTGAGGTGTGCGCAAGTTGACCGGACACCTCCATTCATAAAAAAAAAAAAAAAAATTATCTATCCACTTCCATTTCCATACAAATTAAAATGGATATAAATTCTTTTAACTAGTTTTAAAAGGCTTGTTGAATGTTCCTTATTTGTTTGGTAAAAAATTAAGAAATCCAAAAGTGTTTTAAAATTGTTTGAAGAAAATATCCTGAATAATGAATGTTCTGATGAATTTATAAAAAAATCCAAAAATTATTCTGATTGAACATCAAAATATAAAAAAGATGGTTGGTGACATTAACCGGTGAGAAAAAATGTTCCCGAATGGACCACAAGGGGAGTGGGAAATGAGTGACGCAAAGCAAAACATGAAAGCAAAATCCATAGCGGTGGCCTGACTAATAATATAATACATTCCATACCGGAAGAATATCACATAATACCCTTAAACTTTCTAAATTTATATTTGGATAACAACTTTCACATTTTTTTATTAAATAGACCCTAACAATTTTGAAAATTGTATCATGGATATTCGTTGCCAAATGGTGTTAGCTGAGCCGAGCCGCTTGACAAATACTAGCTTGGTGAGTCGACCTCAAGTGTTTGTGTGATAGTTTTGAAACTATCATGGGGTGACATGTAATTTTACAGTTTTAAAATTGACAAATCCCTACAAACCCTAAATGTGTAAAAACCAATTTGGGGCTTTTGCAATTAGAAAAAACCCTAAAAGCTGAAAGTGTTCCATGACGTCACACGATTTATAGTGTCGAGCTCGATCACCCTAAGCTCGCCAAGCTCGAGCTCGACATTGTAGCAACAGAGGTTAGCTCGATAAACCCAAAGCTCGGTTCGACTCGGCTCGATTGCACCCCTTGCCTTAACTCTATTATGTTGCTATTTGTGGTAAATGGGTGAAACGTTAACTTTACTTTTATAAGAAAGTGTTAGGGTAAAATGGTAAACTTGACTTTGTAAGAAAGTGTTTTGTAAACCTAATGACAATATAAGGTAAAGAAACATCAGTGGCATATTTTCAAATTTTGAAGGTTTATGTGGAGCTAGGCAAAAGTTATCATCCTAGTAAGAAAGTAAAAACATTGAAAGGGTCGTATATGATATTCTCCAATACATATGCGATGAAGATGAAGATCCTATGTCACTGTCACCACTGTCCCCTCTGCCCAGCTGATGTCCCTAACATCATTATTATTATTATTATTATTGATTATTATTTAATATTATATGTCCACATCATAGAACAGAACCTACCAATTTAAATCCAAATCAAATCAAATCCCTACTGTAGTCTAGTTTGAAAATGGATTGGGCCCCATCTTAACCCCAATATCGCAATCTTTGTACACACCTACATATGTACACCAAATCTCTGTTTCTCCATTTGTTTTTTTATTTGTAATATGGACAACTCTTCTTTTTATTATTATTCCTTCCATTTAATTATTAAATTAATTAAACTTATAACAGTAAGAATCTTTAGTTGTACATCAGTACATATATGGCCATGTATTAAATATTAAGGTACACTTTTCCTAGGTTATAAAATTCTATTTGTCATATTATTAATCAATTTTATTTAATTTTATATATAAATTATCTCAACATTAATTTAATTTAAGAAACACGTTTTTGGCGCTGTTTTTGAGTTTCTTGGTTAACAAGTCGCAGAGTTTTTGGCGATTTGTAGAACATAGGGAGGTGTAGTAATGGGGGTGGTGGGGACCACAGAGAAAGGGGGCCCCACGGTATAGTTGCATCCACGCGAGAAAGGGACCCACATAGAGGGGGCTAAGCTATGGAGGTGGGGTGGCTAATATCATATGATATGAATCCGTTTCGTTTGGTTGCAGAGAAAGAGAGAGAGAGAAACACTGGAAATTTCTGATGAGAAAAAAGCATTCTCTGCGTGCAAGATAATCACATCGATCAACTCGTACGAAATCTCATCATTACACACTCCCTTTTTTTCTTTTTCTTTTTTTTCTCTCTCTACATAACATATTCACTACTACTTCCCCCCTCCCCTTTGCCTGCTTTATATATATTCACGGCCCTCCCCTTATTTTTCTTCACTTTCTTCTTGCATGAATCTTCAACCAATATTTCTCTTCTAGCTCACTAATTCTTCTTCTTTTCTCTCGCTATATCAGTTTATATCAGCTTTAAATTCTAAGTTTGAAAGTAATCGTTGCATGGATGGATTCTTCAAGTGGACAACACCAGGTAGGAAATATATATGACAGTACCTAGTTTTCATTTGTTTGTTAACTACTTTACCTTTTGCTTCTTCTTTCTTTCTCTCTCTCTTTTTTTTTATTTTTTTGTTTTTGTTTTTGTTTTTTTTCCTTTTATGGTTCTTTTTAACCTACTTCTGGTTTGGGATTCTGGGTTTAATTGGGAAAGATGAGTTCTGTTGTTATAATGGTGTTATTATTATTATTAGTTACTTTGGTGTCTCTAAAGGAAGTAAAGATTAACAGAAAAACAAAACAAAGGGAAAAGATTTTGGAGCTTTGTATTTGAAATTTTTGTTTCATGCATGTTAATTTCATAATTCCATGTTTCCCTTTTCAAGTTTCAAGTCAACATATAGCATTGTTTCTTAATTGATCCCGAAAAAAACAAAGATAGCTTTAATTGTTCTTGATTCTAAGCGATAGTCTTTGTTTTTATACTTCCTGTTATGGGGTTTTTAATATCCAAAGATCTTGAATTCCAGAAAAAACTGTTTAAATTACCTCCACATACTCCGTTTCCTTGTCAAGAAAATGGTGGATGAGGAATTGAAGATCATACAGTAACCATTTTTCATAGTCAATTTCATTTCTTAACCTATGAGCTTCCTTTGGTCTGAAACTATACATATATAACATATATCGTATCAAATAAACCATACAATGAAATTAATTTGGGCATTTCTTTAATCTCATAAAAGTTGAAATTGTTCTTGATTGATTCAGGAAATGCCTTCTCATTCACTGGAGAACATGTTGGCTTGTTCAAAAGCACAACAAGACAGGAAGCCAAGGCCTCAACCCGAACAAGCTCTGAAATGTCCAAGATGTGATTCAACCAACACCAAGTTCTGCTACTACAACAACTACAGTCTCACTCAACCCAGATACTTCTGCAAATCTTGCAGAAGGTACTGGACAAAAGGCGGCACTCTGAGGAATGTTCCAGTAGGTGGAGGCTGCAGGAAGAACAAAAGATCGTCATCTTCATCATCATCAAAGAGATCCCAAGATCAATCTCTAACTTCTCCAAATACCAACCCCCTCACCAATCTCCCCGCCATGAGTTATGACTCAAACGACCTCTCTCTTGCATTTGCTCGGCTTCAAAAACAGGCCAGTGGGCAATTAGGGTTTGATGAGCATGATTTTTCTATTTTGGGAAACCCCAGCAACCCCCATTGTGGTGATAGTATTCTTGGAAACCCTAATATTAACAACACTTGTGGTTCAACTCCAGTCTTTCTTGATGCTCTCAGGAGTGGATATCTCGATACCCAGAACAACTATCAGAATTTGTATTATGGGTTTGGAAATGGGCACAGTATGGGAGATGTAGATAATAACAATGTTGGTGGTGTTGGCGTCAGTGGAGAAATGTTGCTGCCATATGGAGAAATGGCGAGTACTAATGCAACAACAACAGCCGTGACAGTCACAACAATGAAGCAAGAGTTTTGCAACAATAGAGAAAGCGAGAATTCTAGGGTTTTGTGGGGATTTCCATGGCAGCTTAATGGAGATCATCATCATCATCATCATGGGAACATGGGTGGTGAAATTGATTCAGCAAAAGAGAGCTGGAATGGACTCAATTCATCATGGCATGGACTGGTTAACAGCCCTTTAATGTAAAACAAAACAAGGCATATAATTTCTTGTTTGATCAGACTAAAAAAAATCTCAGTTTCAATCAAAATCCCTTGAGTTTTTGTATTAAGAGATGTGATTTACTGAAATCATCATGCATCTCCACTCCAATTCTATTTCCCATTTGTTTTCTTTTCTTTTTTTTTGTTTTTGTTTTCTAGTATAAACCATAGGCTTATATAGGAGATATGAGATTTGTTTAGCTAACAAAGTGAAGTGATATAACATCGTATGTAGTACTATCTTTGAGAAAAGAGTGAATGACTGAGCGTGATGTGTTCATCGTTTTATGCATTCTGAAACTCTCTGAAATTCTCAAAACTGTTGGGTTTGTTATTATTTGCAGTGAAATTTGGTATTTTTTTTTTTCTTTTCAATATATTCTACCATGATTGCTTCGTATTTTGGTCTAGATTCTTAGGATTTAATAATACAAATAATTGTATGATAATGGGTTCGTTGGGATTTTCTTCTATCCAAGTACAGTATTAGAATTTCAGTGAGGCATGAGCACCAATTTCGGGATGGATTTTTGCCTCTCTCCTAACACCGAATCCAAATAAAAGATTTGGGCGTGACTAATTGTTCAGTAAACAGTATTTAATATATTAGAACTAAACATAGTCAATAAAAAAAAGGTCGTATAAGCAGAGGAAAAATTGGTTCATCATGATGTGAAACAGCGATTTCATGATAGAAAAATCATAAATCAAGGCATATTATAATACTAAAATCAGGATGAATTTTATTCACCGAAACTTGCTTTTTTGATAAATTAATTGAGACATCATTGAATGTTTTAGAAGATCTATGTATGATTAGACCAAATCTTTGATGAAATTTTCCAAGTTAAATATAGTTATATAAAATTCACTTAGTCACAAGATTCTAAAATTCTTAATTGAAAGTGGGGTTCGTATATTGGAATATGGTTTTAGATTTCACATGGCAGTGAAGTTTGAAATTTCAATGACAGAATGAAAACAAATGGCCAATAATTTCCAACTCTTGATTGTTTCAAGGCAGTTAGGACCTGCTTAACAAACGGAGGGTCCGGGTCAGGGTCAGGGTCAGGAACCTGTGTACTTAAAGGACAATTCTTCCCTTGTAAGGTGGGCCACCGGGTTGTTGAATTAAAGTCCAATTCGGGCCGTTCTCGGATTGATACATCTCGATAGGGATTTAATGATTGCCACTTCAGTATTATATCGATTCCAAGTTTAAGAACATCTCAGTTTAGTTATTACCTGTTTGGCACCACCAATACACAAAGCATCAAACTTTCCACCTCATTTCATTATAAGTACATTTTGGAAGTGCTTGTCACTGAAAAAGCATTTCTTTGTTGTTGGGTATTTGAATATTTAACTGAAACAAATGAACAGATATTTATTCAAGTTTAAAAATATCTTGAATGTTTTCTAAACAAGCTTTTGATAGTATCAAAATTTTTACTACGAAACTTGATTTTACAAGTAGTGTGACTGGTCCGACCGGTGACCGACGTCCTCTCTGGTTCGTATTACCATTATTAACTGTTCACAAGATCCCTAATCTGATTGCCGACAAACGAGGGGCTATATCAAGTGCTAGGGTTCAAGGTGTTTTGTTGAGTGGAGGACGGTGGTTCAACGGGGGGTGTCGGATTGAATATTGGATGTCAGAATAAGCCAAAATTTGGCCGAAAAAATCAACCCAATATGCAAGTCATGACTAGCGAACAGAGGGCCACCAAGTGTCGAGGTTAGATGAGTTTTGTAGAGTAGAGGCCAATGGTTCAGGTGTTGGTATCGAATTGAATTTTGGATCCTGAAATCAGCCGGAAAAATCAACCCAATTATGGTGGTGTCTGCAAGTCGCAGTCGACAAACGAGAGGCTACCAAGTTTTGGGGTTAAAGGGGTTTTGTAGAGGGGAGGATAGTGGTGTCGAATTGAATTTTGGAAGCTAGAATCAGCCCGAATTTGGCCAAAAAATATCAATTTAGGGTCAAATTGGAAGGGCGTATTTGTTAGATTTCAAACCTTTAGGAACTACTAGTTATTTTTAGGGGTGTGTTTACAAGATTTCAAATTTGCTGGATCACTGGTGAACCACCAATTTAAATTAGTCGGACTGGTCAACCCAAGACCCAACCCCTTGTCCGGGTGACACACTGGGTCAACAAGTACAAATTATATATGTAACCTCATAGGACATCTCCAACCCACAATATTTTGGTGTGAAAAACACAAAAATAGCGTGAAATGCTGCTCCAATGCAGCACCGTTTGCTGCACCAATTTGGTGTAATACTGTTTATCCACACTAAATTGGCATGGTACTGGTCATACAGCCAATTTTTTTTTTTTTGTTATTTGCATTTATTAATTTGATTATTATTTATATTAATATTTATAATAATAAATTCATAATAATGATATGATTCAAAAAATGATGAAAAATTAAAAACAAAACTTTATTCAATGCAAATATTAAACCACAATAACTCAAAATAAAAATTAACACTAATTTAAAAACACTAAAATTAATAAAAAATACAACATAAACTAAAAATGTATTACATGATATAAGGACTGCGTGTATTATTATGCACAACATGATAATCGAGGATAATCGTAATGTTGATGAATCAATTGAGAATCAGATGGAAGCGCCAACTCTAAAAGTTGAAATTGTCGTAGATGAAAATATTCAATTTCAAAATTTTCTTGCTCGACATGGACAAATTAAGGATATAAAGGCTCTCAATGCTCTTCGAAATGCATTAATTGATCATTTGTAGGAAGAATATACTAATTCGAAAAATTAAATTACTATCAATATGAAATTTTACTTTTGTGTTGTGTTTTTTTTTTTTTTTTGTATTATTTTATATTAGATGTAATGTTTTTTTATATTAAATATAATGTTTATTTGATTAAATAAATGTTTAATTTTATTAAATTAGTATAATTTTTAAAGTAATTATTATTTAATAAAAATATTATTCTTAATATTTAATTAATATATACAAAAAAAGAGTGAAATAAATTAATTATTAGTTATTACAATAAAAGAAAAAGAAAGAGAATATTCTAAGAAATATTCATTTTAATGTAATAGTTAATGCAATGGGTTAGAGACGTATAACAAATATTTTTTTATATGTATGGACTCATCCATGATCCATTCACTTTTGCGTAATAAAAGGGTTTGTAAATCTAGTATTATTAAAAAAATATGATAGGATTCTAAGTTTTATTTGCTGAATGATAGCAGGATGCAACATTTACAGCTTTGTTAAAACACCATCCTTATGGTATTAAATTTAACAATAATGCTATGCTTACTCACGAGTAGACCTGATAAAACGGGTCCAGACCCGCGAGTCAGTCCGTACCCGGGTAGAAAATATAGGGTATGGGTCCAATTTATTAGACCCGTTTCGTTTTTACCCGTACCCGGCCCAACCCGTATAGTTGAGGGGTTATATGGGTAAACCCGCGGGCACCCGCGGGTACCCGTTTTTGCAAATCCCTAAAGTGGCTAAGTCCCTAACTCAGACTTTAAAGCAAATCTTCATCTTCAACATAACAATTATTTCTCGTAGTCCCGCCTCTCGATCTCTCATCACTGCATCACTCATCACTCATTCATCATTAGTATACCTCACGGTCCTCACTTGAACCTTATTTATTCATTCTGTAAACTCTTAATCTCTCATCCAGTCTATGATTCCCATTCCTAGTACCACCGTCGCAGGTAGCCCTCACTCTGGTCATCTCCTCTCTCTCACGTCATCGGGACTTAGGCGTCGGCTCGTCATCTCCTCTCTCTCTCCATCACAAGACTCGCGACTCTTCTCCCCACCATTGTAGTAGATCCGTGAGTTGGGTTTCAAGATCTGTTTTTATTATATCTTCCAGAAAAGCTGTAGCTTGTTTGATGTTTGGGTTTCAAGATCTGTTTTCAAGATCCGTGAGCTGGGTTTCAAGATCTGCTTTTATTGTATCTTCCAGAAAAGCTGCAGCTTGTTTGATGTTTGGGTTTCAAGATCTGTTTTTAAGATTCGTGAGTTGGGTTTCAAGATTTGTATAATTTAGCTTATTCGTGAAATCTCTGTCTGTATGAAGTATGAACAGTAAATGATGAGGATTTTTGTGCTTAGAGTTAGTGAATTGCAGATTTGCAAGCACTGTTTTTAGAATAATAGTTGTCCGGCTGTCCCTGTAAATATGGTTTTGAAATGAAGCTGTTTGCCTATTTTCACAAGTAGAATTCTATAAATGTGTTATGCATATGCTACAAAATTGGAGCCATGGTCCAAATTTAGAATTCTGTAATGAATTATTTCCAATGTTCTGTACAATTTTCATAACTGCAAGAATTTTGGGGGTGTAATTGTTATAATTAAAAACTATTAGGGGTGAAACTGTAAAAACTGAAACCTGGAGAGAGAAAACGGGTCCACCCGTACTTGTATAGGGTAGGGCACGGGTCCAAAATATTGGACCCGTATATATCGATCCGTATAAGGACCCGCACCCGTATGACCCATACCCGTATAACCCGGACCGTACCCGGCCCACCCACCCGTTTTGCCAGGTCTACTCACGAGTTTACTAACTCTCTTACTACCTTTGTTAAAATTATATATAATATCTATACTATGTGTATGATACCCGTATTATACGTTATATTTACTAAGGATAATAAAATGATTAGTAAGATAAATAAGTATAGCATTACCCTAAATTTAATTGACTGGCTTAGACTGGACTCTGTTAGCACAATGCATTATAATTTACAGTACTGAAAACAAATGCCACTGGCAAAACAAACTAGCTGTAATTTGGACGTTTGGTGGTCAAAACAGTAGTTCCAATAGATGTTGAGCTTCTAACCCCATAGGCATTTTAACTAGTCATCTCAAACTGAAGAATACCCATTAAACAAAATTTTCTAATAGCAAAAATAAACTTTAACGAAATCAGTCCATCAGAAGAAAAGAATAAATTCCTAATACTTTCAACTGAGGAAAATATTCACTTAACAGCAGTAAACAGGAAAGATAAAAGGAGAAGTGCAAAGGGATACGGGGAAATAAACTGCTCAAAAAAGACAAAGAAGCGTTTTGAGGCAAGTGTTCATGACCTTGGTTTCTCCTTCTTCTCCTTGAAGAGGGCCAGAAGAGACACACCTGAAACCTTTACGACCTTAAATCTGACCCCAGGAATATCTCCAACAGCATGCCCTTTACGACCAAATCCTGCAATCAGCACTTCGTCCTGCATACCAACCATAAAAGAGAATGCATAAATACGACTTAAGAAAACAACTTAATTTTTAACTGTTAAACCCCCAAACAAAATTCTTACATTTTCTTCAATGTAGTTCAAACAACCATCATTGGGAACGAAAGCTGCAATCTTCTTTCCATTCTTAATTAGCTGGACTCGAGCACATTTTCTAATAGCAGAATTTGGCTGTTTTGCCTCGATACCACTGTAATATTAAGCCAGTAACACTTGTCACTGATTATACAAAAATTCTTAACTTTAAAGCACGATATACCAAGTTAACAATAGATTTCACCCTACATTTTCTCAAGAACAATGCCTTTTGCATGAGAGGAGCCAGCAAATGGCTTCTTCCACTCATTGCCGAGGTTGGACTTTTTATATGCCTTATCAGCCCACCTTTGGTTTCTACGGTGGGTCTTCAACTTGCGACCAGCTCCCATCCCACGTGTCTTCCTGCAAATAATTTATCCATCCACAACAAAACATAAATTTTTTTTTTTTTAATTATTCAAACAAAAGAACAAATCAAGTCCAATTTGAATCATCTTAAGTTATTCTATCCTTAATATAACATACATGAAAATTTTGAAACACTGCCATTAACAACCACACACAAATAATGACCTAATCTACATAAATCTTGTCCATAATTCTGAATTTCGACACGCATTAAAAAAAGTAAAATAAAATAAAACTTCAAACTATCAAGCGGCCTCAGAGATCTCGGTGGATAAGAATCATCAAATGGAGTTAACAGCACCCCATCAAGAGTAGCAAATATTAATCTCACATCACTGGCCATTGTTAACCCGTCATAGTAATTTCATGTTTCTATTCACACACTCGTCAAACAAGCATAGTATCAAAACACAAAAACATGTTATAATAGACCCAAATTTCCCAGACTCTCTATGTTCCATAAACTAAGATATCACAGAAAAAATAATTAAGTTGAAAACGGATTGAGCGAAAAATCTTTACCCCATGGTTGCGGTACGAAGAAGGCTATGCGACTGTGACAAAAAAACTTGGAAGGTTGGGAGCTGCAAGAAGAAAATACTACTAAAGCCGTGAGCGCTATGTTAAAAAACCCTAATTTTTGAATTTATAAAAAGCCCTCAAGTCGCCTCGGCCTTGTTCATTTGTTTGCAGACTTACCCTTTATTTGGGCCTCTTCCAGCCCAGCATGAAAAACCCGTTTTGTGTTTTTGATGATACAAGTATGTAACGGTTGTGATTTCATACTATGAATCATTTTCATTTTAAATACCGTGTTATATTTTATTACCGTTTTTATCGTTTAAGTAATTAATATAATATCCACTTTTCCTACTGTTATTACTGTTATGTGGTAAATTCGGAAAGCATAAATTTGCGTCACGTGTCTCATGACTATGCAAACGCCGGCATGAGCCCTTGCCATTTGCACTATGATTATGCATCTGTTTAGGTCGCGTGTTACATCAATAAAGGGTTATTTCATTTGTAAGACTGTCATAAATTGCTTCAACAGTGAGGTTTGGAGTTAAATTGTCGTCCATGTCGTGTCACCTCATGAGAGGACTATTTCACTAATAAGTCTTTAAGAATGGTGGTTTGTCAAGCCATGTGTCACGTGATGAGGGGATTACTTTGTAAGCAAGACCACCTATACAATAATATAAATAGGGGTCTCAACTCAAATAAGGTACCGAAAATTCCATTTTCTCCATAACAAAAGAGCAATTGTCTCTCTTAAAAGCAAATATCTTTTGTAAATATATCAATAAGATAACAATAGACGTAGGATTTACATCTTATATTCAAACCACTTTAAAAATTCTTTTTATCGACTCTTTTTATTTATTAACCCGCATTATCGTTATTATCGCTCATTCGTTTAGCATCTACTAACCAATCATGAACTTGTTTATAGATCTCTGGGTTCGGAAAATTTGATATCATAAATCAATGTCTGCAACTTCACCTTTGCTCTAATGTAAACATAATATCGATCCATATTCATATTAGCTTGCATTTTGGTACAAGATAAAATAGCTCTTTCCTGAGGAATATCCATGTTATTTGTAGACAAAAGTCCAATTTTAATCCCGCATTAACAAGTGATTATAAAGGTTTGATGCTGTGATTACTAAAAACATACATATTTTTTATAATCCCAAGCATGTGAAACTCCAGTTTTTGCATATTAATACATTATGCACTGCTACAATATAAAACATCCATGGCTGCAAAAAGTTAACCAGAATAAGCTTTTAGTAAGTACTGTCACCACATTACTAATACAAATATTGGGAGAGTGCTCATTTTCACTTCATCACAAAATAAATTAGCCGTTTGGATGGACGGAAGTATCTGTCAAAAGAAGCAAAAATGAATCAATTAGATAGGGTTGGAGAAAGGAAATGCAAGGCTGCAAGAGTGGCTCATACAATTTAGGAAACATATTCTCACCTGTTGTATTGTTTCTATTTCTGAGGTTTCTTCCACAACACTCCGATTTTCTTTAGCACATTTCCGTTCTTCTTCTTCAGCAAATCATCATCAATATCTTCAGAAAACGGTGGGCTTATTTTTCCGGTGACATGGTTATAATTGCTGTCCAATGAGCCACTTCTGTCCATAAATTTCCCGTTGTTTGCTCCGGAAAGCATAGCAGCTGCTGCCTCTGCAGCCTTCCTCCATTGATCAGACTGCACTTTTAGCCTTCTCAACTCTGCCTCTGCTTCAGCATTTGCCGCCTGTGCTGCCTCAAGCTGCTCGGTTACTCTTGCAGTCCTCCTGTTACTCTTATCTGCCTCCTCCATCGTGAGCCCAAGCTTAATCAGAGCCTCTCGCTCTGCAGCCCTAGCTACCGCTACTTCGGCATCCACATCAATATTCACTTTATGTGTGTCCGTTTCCCTTTTGCTAACTTCCAACTTTAGCTTCTCATTCTCCTCAGAAATATTCTGCAGTTCTGTCTCCTTATCCATTAGATTTGCCTTCAAATCTGCCACAGCTTGCTTATGTTTCCTGAGATCATTCTCCAGTTCAGATGTTCTCTGGCACGATACGTTTTTGTCGAGTTTCATATGCAGGCCCTCATTCTCCTCAGAAATTCCTTGCAATTCAGTTTCCTTATCCATCAGGTTTGCTTTCAATTCTTCAATGTCAGATTTTGTTTTCTCCAGCTCGGCTTCCAGTTCAGCCTCTCTTAGGCCTGTCCTAGATTTTATCTGATCCACCAGCTCATAAGCACTTTTTATCTGCACTGTGCTCTGGATTTGTTCTTCATGGAATTTGGTCTCACTAATTTCTAGAGCAGTTCTTAACCGTTCAACCTCTGACTTTAAAGTATGAAGCTCCTCTTCAAGCTGTTTTGATTCCTTTGTCTTTTGGTTTTCTTCTATTTCTTGCTTTGGATCATGATCAGCAGCAAAATTTTGAGAAAGGTTTCTGCTAGCATTATTCAGGTCTGCTTCAAGTTTGCTAACAAGCCCTTCTAACAAGTTTACACGGGCTCTTGACTGGTCTAATTCTGAAGCAATGGAGTTGTACGCTTCATTGGCTTTCATACCATCTGACTTGAGAGCCTCTACCAATTTTTTAGCAGTTTCAAGTTGCACCAGAGTTTCACTGGCCATTGCATGGGCCTGAGTTTCTGACTCTTTGCTTTCCCTTAGCTGGTTTTTCATGTTCTCCACGAGTGAAAGAGTTTCTATCAGATTTCCTTTCAAGCTCTGGAGTTCCACAGGTGCAGATTCTGTGTGCTTGCTCTGTGCAGCCTCAGATTCAGCTACCATTTCAAGCTGAGCCTTAAGCTGCTGAATCTCATTCAAGGCAGATGCCAAGGCAGCCGAGTCGGTCAAGTGCTGCTTCTGCACACCCTCAAGCTCAGACTGCCATGATTGATCCTGCTCTTGGGATGTCTTCTGAAGTTCACTATGGCTAGCTTCCTCAGAAGCAGATAGCTCCAGAAGCTGCTTCTGGGATTCCTCTAGCTTTGAAGACATGGCCAACAGTTGCTTCTTGGAATCCTCCGCATCTTGCTGCGCTTGATTCTTGCATGACTCAGATGAACTCAACTGATCCTTTGCCTTCTTCAAATCCTCCTGAAGTTGAGATATCTGAGATTCCAATTCAGATATTCTGCTTGGTCGCTTCTTCTGGAGCAAGAAAAATGATGAAGGCTTTGAATTATTCAGCAAATTCCAATGGAACCAGCTTAATAAAGTGATATAACAAGTAGCGCAAACATATCGACCTCAAAGTCTAAAACTATGGCATTGAAGTTCCATGCAGATGAGAGAAAAGAAAAAGAACCGTAGCTTAGATCTTTAGTGATGCAAAATATAATTCATAATATAAGGAAGACAGTAAAACCAAATCCCATCAATCAAATCATATAACAGCAGAAACATATGTGAAAAGAACAAAAAGTTTACATGGCCTAAAACTATTCTAAATCTGCATAAAACAACGGGGAAAGATCACTATCAGAGGAAGTAATAAACCATTTCACTTTCCCAACCTCTTTCAAATACCTGAATTAAATATTTCACCTAATCTAAAGAAAATCCATAAGGCCTCTCATGGAAAGGACCATCCTAGCTAACTGACTTCTCACGTTCTTTGAAAGAAAATGAATGCAACACATTCAATTCAGTTAAAACTTTCAACCAGAAACTAGATTTAGAAACTTAAAATGTCATTTTCTGAAGACCTAAATTTTTCACCAAGAAAGCAACATTGAGTGTTACCTTTAAGTTGCAAAAACTTTAATGTTTGGGCTATTATACTATTACAAACTGATCTCCAAGATTCAGCAATGCTGTCAAATTATGTAATAATAGCAACATTTGTTAATTTCATTAAATCAAGTACCTCAGCCACTGGGCTTCTGGGTGTCCTGCGTTCAACAACCTTAGGGCTTCTCTCTTTTGGTGTCCTACAAGTTTGACTTGATGAAGACGCAGACTTGGACTCTAATGCAGTTGTATTCAGTTGCCGTGCAGCTCGAGGAGAGACCTTCAGTGGGACTTCTGAAGAGCCACTTCTACAAACAAAACCATATGGCAACAATCAGGAACACACAAAAAGAGAACAGGATTCACATAAACAAGTCAGATACCATCCATTTATGAACAATGGGATCAGCTAAGAGTCTATCGTTTGGCATGAAATTGGTACGCAAATTATAATTCTCTTGAAAACAGAGGATGCCCGTTCATCCAGTCACCTTAACTCATTATAATCCAAATATTCCACTATTCCCATGAAAATCAATTCTCTCTCATACAGTTTACAATAGCCATTTGTTACATATAAGTCATACAACTGAGTGTAACTTAATAAATGGTTTTTAGTCAATCAATATCACAGATCCCAAAAAGATAAAGAAAAAAACAAGATCTCAAAGTTCAGGTAAAACAAAAGCATTACAATTGCAGCAAGAAAACTCAAATGACAACTTTTGATCCCAAGTTCAAATCTGAGAATGTTTCAACAGGATAATTTGATAAGACATGATTACAAAAAAATATATATATATATATATAATAATAATAATTAGCCATCATACAAACAGACACAAATTTAATTAGTTTTATCATAGTATGCAGCCCTTCATGTTACCATAACTCCATCTACGAGTCCCACCAATGTGGTCCTGCACACCCTCAAGTTAATGCAAGAGACAAGGGTATATCATAATCTTTGTTTTGATGCTGAAACCAAAAAAAATTGCAGTTCATGACTCTTTAAACCGACTATGCTAGTGGTAGCTTGATAGTGAAGGTTAAATTGTGAAACTTATATTTCACCACTCAGGAAAAGCATGATGCATGTTTGGATAATTCCAGAGAAAAAACTAAATCAATTATAAAGGGGTGAAGAGTATCAAGGAGAGGCTCAAGCAACCAGAATACAAACAGATATGAACAGCCATCAATTTCCAGCAGAGAACTTTACTGTACACCTTTCACATTCATGGAACCAAATTACCATATATAGGAAGATAAGATAATAATTCACAACTTGCCTTATTCAACATAACAACAAAGAAGAGAGAGAGCCTTCATAAAGGCGTCAAGGGTTACCTTGTTTTGGGAGTCTGCATAATGTGAATGATAAACCTTCTAGGCAGAAAAGTGAAAATAAATGGAGTAATTTTAGCTTCACCAATTCAATGCTCCCCTGACCCACTAGACCTAAAATTTAAGAGAGATGAAAATATCACAAGCTGAGACAAAAGAATCCAATGCAGATGTTCATGAACAAATTAAATAGCTTCGTGAAGGATAACTACTCTTATCATCACAATACCAAAAGCCATAAAAGCAAAAGATTCATTAACCAAAATGAAACTTACCCAAACCAAAAGTAATCAACAGCAAGAGCAAAAAAAATAAATGGTCAACACAACACAATCAATTTCTTGAACCAGACAGTAAAAGCGTATCACAGTTATATCATGCTCATGACTCATACTACTGGGGTCCCATGGGGACCTACATAAAGTCAAAAAATTGAAATAAATGCCCCTACTAGAAACAGGACAAAAAAGGCAAATTTAGGCTCCTGAGAGGGCATTATTATAATTTATGATGTCAAGCTTCCCCCTCCATTGTGGCCGAGAAATGAGGGCAATAAGCAGTGTTATTATAGTTTATGCGGGTGGGGCTATCAATTTGAGGTCAAGGACGCAAAAAGAATTTTAAAGAAACGCTCAAACCTGCTTATCTTGTCTACTCAAAAGTAGAGAACACCAGGAATCTGTTTGTTTTCATGGAAAATATTTTCTGAGAAACTTTCGATAAAAGGAAAGATAAACTTCAGAAAACCTCCGAACAAGATCTAAACCAAGCAGAAGCTGGAGTAGCCGTGAAAAGAAGAAGCAAAGTAAATGCAGCTTACAAATTCAACAAAGATAAGATATCACTCAATTGAAAAGGAACCAAAAGTGAAGAGACAAAGTGAAACGTACAACCAACCTTTTAGAGATTCTTTTTTCCACAATTCTACAAAAAAAAAGACAGAATTTTTTTAAGCTTTATGAGCTCCAACTCCAACACACGGTAACCCTTTTCAGTAAAACAGAGTTCAACAGAAAAAAGGGTTTCAAAAGAAGCATCATTACCATGAACAAAAGGGGTAGAACAAACGAAAGCCAATACATGAACAATGCATAGAAAATGCTTAATTTAAACAAACTTAATCAGAGCCTCTCGCTCTGCAGCCCTAGCTACCGCTACTTCGGATCCACATCAATATTCACTTTATGTGTGTCCGTTTCCCTTTTGCTAACTTCCAACTTTAGCTTCTCATTCTCCTCAGAAATATTCTGCAGTTCTGTCTCCTTATCCATTAGATTTGCCTTCAAATCTGCCACAGCTTGCTTATGTTTCCTGAGATCATTCTCCAGTTCAGATGTTCTCTGGCAGATATTTTTGTCGAGTTTCATAGCAGGCCCTCATTCTCCTCAGAAATTCCTGCAATTCAGTTTCCTTATCCATCAGGTTTGCTTTCAATTCTTCAATGTCAGTTTTGTTTTCTCCAGCTCGGCTTCCAGTTCAGCCTCTCTTAGGCCTGTCCTAGATTTATCTGATCCACCAGCTCATAAGCACTTTTTATCTGCACTGTGCTCTGGATTTGTTCTTCATGGAATTTGGTCTCACTAATTTCTAGAGCAGTTCTTAACCGTTCAACCTCTGACTTTAAAGTATGAAGCTCCTCTTCAAGCTGTTTTGATTCCTTTGTCTTTTGGTTTTCTTCTATTTCTTGCTTTGGATCATGATCAGCAGAAATTTTGAGAAAGGTTTCTGCTAGCATTATTCAGGTCTGCTTCAAGTTTGCTAACAAGCCCTTCTAACAAGTTTACACGGCTCTTGACTGGTCTAATTCTGAAGCAATGGAGTTGTAGCTTCATTGGTTTCATACCATCTGACTTGAGAGCCTCTACCAATTTTTTAGCAGTTTCAAGTTGCACCAGAGTTTCACTGGCCATGCATGGGCCTGAGTTTCTGACTCTTTGCTTTCCCTTAGCTGGTTTTTCATGTTCTCACCAGTGAAAGAGTTTCTTCAGATTTCCTTTCAAGCTCTGGAGTTCCACAGGTGCAGATTCTGTGTGCTTGCTCTGTGCAGCCTCAGATTCAGCTACCATTTCAAGCTGAGCCTTAAGCGCTGAATCTCATTCAAGGCAGATGCCAAGGCAGCCGAGTCGGTCAAGTGCTGCTTCTGCACACCCTCAAGCTCAGACTGCCATGATTGATCCTGCTCTTGGGATATCTTCTGAAGTTCACTATGGCTAGCTTCCTCAGAAGCAGATAGCTCCAGAGCTGCTTCTGGGATCCTCGCTTTTGAAGACATGGCAACAGTGCTTCTTGGAATCCTCCGCATCTTGCTGCGCTTGATTCTTGCATGACTCAGATGAACTAACTGATCCTTTGCCTTCTTCAAATCCTCCTGAAGTTGAGAATCTGAGATTCCAATTCAGATATTCTGCTTGGTCGCTTCTTCTGGAGCAAGAAAATGATGAAGGCTTTGAATTATTCAGCAAATTCCAATGGAACCAGCTTAATAAAGTGATAAACAGTAGAGAAACATATCGACCTCAAAGTCTAAAACTATGGCATTGAAGTTCCATGCAGATGAGAGAAAAGAAAAAGAACGTAGCTTAGATCTTTAGTGATGCAAAATAATTCATAATATAAGGAAGACGTAAAACCAAATCCCATCAATCAAATCATATAACAGCAGAAACATATGTGAAAAGAACAAAAAGTTTACATGGCCTAAAACTATTCTAAATCTGCATAAAACAACGGGGAAAGATCACTATCAGAGGAAGTAATAACCATTTCACTTTCCCAACCTCTTTCAAATACCTGAATTAAATATTTCACCTAATCTAAGAAAATCCATAGGCCTCTCATGGAAAGACCACCTAGCTAACTGACTTCTCACGTTCTTTGAAAGAAAATGAATGCAACACATTCAATTCAGTTAAACTTTCAACAGAAACTAGATTTAGAAACTTAAAATGTCATACATTTTCTCAAGAACAATGCCTTTTGCATGAGAGGAGCCAGCAAATGGCTTCTTCCACTCATTGCCGAGGTTGGACTTTTTATATGCCTTATCAGCCCACCTTTGGTTTCTACGGTGGGTCTTCAACTTGCGACCAGCTCCCATCCCACGTGTCTTCCTGCAAATAATTTATCCATCCACAACAAAACATAAATTTTTTTTTTTTTTAATTATTCAAACAAAAGAACAAATCAAGTCCAATTTGAATCATCTTAAGTTATTCTATCCTTAATATAACATACATGAAAATTTTGAAACACTGCCATTAACAACCACACACAAATAATGACCTAATCTACATAAATCTTGTCCATAATTCTGAATTTCGACACGCATTAAAAAAAGTAAAATAAAATAAAACTTCAAACTATCAAGCGGCCTCAGAGATCTCGGTGGATAAGAATCATCAAATGGAGTTAACAGCACCCCATCAAGAGTAGCAAATATTAATCTCACATCACTGGCCATTGTTAACCCGTCATAGTAATTTCATGTTTCTATTCACACACTCGTCAAACAAGCATAGTATCAAAACACAAAAACATGTTATAATAGACCCAAATTTCCCAGACTCTCTATGTTCCATAAACTAAGATATCACAGAAAAAATAATTAAGTTGAAAACGGATTGAGCGAAAAATCTTTACCCCATGGTTGCGGTACGAAGAAGGCTATGCGACTGTGACAAAAAAACTTGGAAGGTTGGGAGCTGCAAGAAGAAAATACTACTAAAGCCGTGAGCGCTATGTTAAAAAACCCTAATTTTTGGATTTATAAAAAGCCCTCAAGTCGCCTCGGCCTTGTTCATTTGTTTGCAGACTGACCATTTATTTGGGCCTCTTCCAGCCCAGCATGAAAAACCCGTTTTGTGTTTTTTATGATACAAGTATGTAACGGTTGTGATTTCATACTATGAATCATATTCATTTTAAATACCGTGTTATATTTTATTACCTTTTTATCGTTTAAATCATTAATATAATATCCACTTTTCCTACTGTTATTACTGTTATATGGTAAATTCGGGAAGCATAAATCTGTGTCACGTGTCTTATGACTATGCAAATACAGGCATGAGCCTTTGTCACGTGCTTTGTGACCATGCATCTGTTCAGGTCGCATGTGACACTAATAAAGGGTTATTTCATTTGTAAGGTTGCCATGAGTTGTTTCAACAGTAAAGTTTGGAGCTAAGCTGTCATTCATGTGAGAGAGGACTACTTCACTAATAAGTCTCTAAGAAAGGCGGTTTGTCATGTCACGCGATGAGGGGATTACTTTATGAGTAAGACCACCCATACAACAATATAAATAGGGGTCTCAACCCACATAAGGTATCCTAAAATTTCATTTTTTCCATAACAAAAGAGCAATTATTTGTCTTGAGAGCAAATATCTTTTTGTAAATAAAATGACAATAAACGTAGGATTTACATCTTACATTCAAACCACTTGAAAATTCTTTTTGTCAACTCTTTTTATTTATTAACCCGCATTATCGTTATTATTGCTCATTGGTTCAGCATCTACTAACCAAACATGAACTTGTTTATAGATCTCTGGGTTCGGAAAATTTGATATCATAAATCAATGTCTGCAACTTCGCCTTTGCTCTAATGTAAACATAATATCGACCCATATTCATATTAGCTTGCATTTTGGTATAAGATAAAATAGCTCTTTCCTGAGGAATATCCATGTTATTTGTACACAAAAGTTCAATTTTAATCCCGCATTAACAAGTGATTATAAAGGTTTGATGCTGTGATTACTAAAAACATACATATTTTTTATAATCCCAAGCATGTGAGACTCCAGTTTTTGCATATTAATACATTATGCACTGCTACAATATAAAACATCCATGGCTGCAAAAAGTTAACCAGAATAAGCTTTTAGTAAGTACTGTCACCACATTACTAATACAAATATTGGGAGAGTGCTCATTTTCACTTCATCACAAAATAAATTAGCCGTTTGGATGGACGGAAGTATCTGTCAAAAGAAGCAAAAATGAATCAATTAGATAGGGTTGGAGAAAGGAAATGCAAGGCTGCAAGAGTGGCTCATACAATTTAGGAAACATATTCTCACCTGTTGTATTGTTTCTATTTCTGAGGTTTCTTCCACAACACTCCGATTTTCTTTAGCACATTTCCGTTCTTCTTCTTCAGCAAATCATCATCAATATCTTCAGAAAACGGTGGGCTTATTTTTCCGGTGACATGGTTATAATTGCTGTCCAATGAGCCACTTCTGTCCATAAATTTCCCGTTGTTTGCTCCGGAAAGCATAGCAGCTGCTGCCTCTGCAGCCTTCCTCCATTGATCAGACTGCACTTTTAGCCTTCTCAACTCTGCCTCTGCTTCAGCATTTGCCGCCTGTGCTGCCTCAAGCTGCTCGGTTACTCTTGCAGTCCTCCTGTTACTCTTATCTGCCTCCTCCATCGTGAGCCCAAGCTTAATCAGAGCCTCTCGCTCTGCAGCCCTAGCTACCGCTACTTCGGCATCCACATCAATATTCACTTTATGTGTGTCCGTTTCCCTTTTGCTAACTTCCAACTTTAGCTTCTCATTCTCCTCAGAAATATTCTGCAGTTCTGTCTCCTTATCCATTAGATTTGCCTTCAAATCTGCCACAGCTTGCTTATGTTTCCTGAGATCATTCTCCAGTTCAGATGTTCTCTGGCACGATACGTTTTTGTCGAGTTTCATATGCAGGCCCTCATTCTCCTCAGAAATTCCTTGCAATTCAGTTTCCTTATCCATCAGGTTTGCTTTCAATTCTTCAATGTCAGATTTTGTTTTCTCCAGCTCGGCTTCCAGTTCAGCCTCTCTTAGGCCTGTCCTAGATTTTATCTGATCCACCAGCTCATAAGCACTTTTTATCTGCACTGTGCTCTGGATTTGTTCTTCATGGAATTTGGTCTCACTAATTTCTAGAGCAGTTCTTAACCGTTCAACCTCTGACTTTAAAGTATGAAGCTCCTCTTCAAGCTGTTTTGATTCCTTTGTCTTTTGGTTTTCTTCTATTTCTTGCTTTGGATCATGATCAGCAGCAAAATTTTGAGAAAGGTTTCTGCTAGCATTATTCAGGTCTGCTTCAAGTTTGCTAACAAGCCCTTCTAACAAGTTTACACGGGCTCTTGACTGGTCTAATTCTGAAGCAATGGAGTTGTACGCTTCATTGGCTTTCATACCATCTGACTTGAGAGCCTCTACCAATTTTTTAGCAGTTTCAAGTTGCACCAGAGTTTCACTGGCCATTGCATGGGCCTGAGTTTCTGACTCTTTGCTTTCCCTTAGCTGGTTTTTCATGTTCTCCACGAGTGAAAGAGTTTCTATCAGATTTCCTTTCAAGCTCTGGAGTTCCACAGGTGCAGATTCTGTGTGCTTGCTCTGTGCAGCCTCAGATTCAGCTACCATTTCAAGCTGAGCCTTAAGCTGCTGAATCTCATTCAAGGCAGATGCCAAGGCAGCCGAGTCGGTCAAGTGCTGCTTCTGCACACCCTCAAGCTCAGACTGCCATGATTGATCCTGCTCTTGGGATGTCTTCTGAAGTTCACTATGGCTAGCTTCCTCAGAAGCAGATAGCTCCAGAAGCTGCTTCTGGGATTCCTCTAGCTTTGAAGACATGGCCAACAGTTGCTTCTTGGAATCCTCCGCATCTTGCTGCGCTTGATTCTTGCATGACTCAGATGAACTCAACTGATCCTTTGCCTTCTTCAAATCCTCCTGAAGTTGAGATATCTGAGATTCCAATTCAGATATTCTGCTTGGTCGCTTCTTCTGGAGCAAGAAAAATGATGAAGGCTTTGAATTATTCAGCAAATTCCAATGGAACCAGCTTAATAAAGTGATATAACAAGTAGCGCAAACATATCGACCTCAAAGTCTAAAACTATGGCATTGAAGTTCCATGCAGATGAGAGAAAAGAAAAAGAACCGTAGCTTAGATCTTTAGTGATGCAAAATATAATTCATAATATAAGGAAGACAGTAAAACCAAATCCCATCAATCAAATCATATAACAGCAGAAACATATGTGAAAAGAACAAAAAGTTTACATGGCCTAAAACTATTCTAAATCTGCATAAAACAACGGGGAAAGATCACTATCAGAGGAAGTAATAAACCATTTCACTTTCCCAACCTCTTTCAAATACCTGAATTAAATATTTCACCTAATCTAAAGAAAATCCATAAGGCCTCTCATGGAAAGGACCATCCTAGCTAACTGACTTCTCACGTTCTTTGAAAGAAAATGAATGCAACACATTCAATTCAGTTAAAACTTTCAACCAGAAACTAGATTTAGAAACTTAAAATGTCATTTTCTGAAGACCTAAATTTTTCACCAAGAAAGCAACATTGAGTGTTACCTTTAAGTTGCAAAAACTTTAATGTTTGGGCTATTATACTATTACAAACTGATCTCCAAGATTCAGCAATGCTGTCAAATTATGTAATAATAGCAACATTTGTTAATTTCATTAAATCAAGTACCTCAGCCACTGGGCTTCTGGGTGTCCTGCGTTCAACAACCTTAGGGCTTCTCTCTTTTGGTGTCCTACAAGTTTGACTTGATGAAGACGCAGACTTGGACTCTAATGCAGTTGTATTCAGTTGCCGTGCAGCTCGAGGAGAGACCTTCAGTGGGACTTCTGAAGAGCCACTTCTACAAACAAAACCATATGGCAACAATCAGGAACACACAAAAAGAGAACAGGATTCACATAAACAAGTCAGATACCATCCATTTATGAACAATGGGATCAGCTAAGAGTCTATCGTTTGGCATGAAATTGGTACGCAAATTATAATTCTCTTGAAAACAGAGGATGCCCGTTCATCCAGTCACCTTAACTCATTATAATCCAAATATTCCACTATTCCCATGAAAATCAATTCTCTCTCATACAGTTTACAATAGCCATTTGTTACATATAAGTCATACAACTGAGTGTAACTTAATAAATGGTTTTTAGTCAATCAATATCACAGATCCCAAAAAGATAAAGAAAAAAACAAGATCTCAAAGTTCAGGTAAAACAAAAGCATTACAATTGCAGCAAGAAAACTCAAATGACAACTTTTGATCCCAAGTTCAAATCTGAGAATGTTTCAACAGGATAATTTGATAAGACATGATTACAAAAAAATATATATATATATATATAATAATAATAATTAGCCATCATACAAACAGACACAAATTTAATTAGTTTTATCATAGTATGCAGCCCTTCATGTTACCATAACTCCATCTACGAGTCCCACCAATGTGGTCCTGCACACCCTCAAGTTAATGCAAGAGACAAGGGTATATCATAATCTTTGTTTTGATGCTGAAACCAAAAAAAATTGCAGTTCATGACTCTTTAAACCGACTATGCTAGTGGTAGCTTGATAGTGAAGGTTAAATTGTGAAACTTATATTTCACCACTCAGGAAAAGCATGATGCATGTTTGGATAATTCCAGAGAAAAAACTAAATCAATTATAAAGGGGTGAAGAGTATCAAGGAGAGGCTCAAGCAACCAGAATACAAACAGATATGAACAGCCATCAATTTCCAGCAGAGAACTTTACTGTACACCTTTCACATTCATGGAACCAAATTACCATATATAGGAAGATAAGATAATAATTCACAACTTGCCTTATTCAACATAACAACAAAGAAGAGAGAGAGCCTTCATAAAGGCGTCAAGGGTTACCTTGTTTTGGGAGTCTGCATAATGTGAATGATAAACCTTCTAGGCAGAAAAGTGAAAATAAATGGAGTAATTTTAGCTTCACCAATTCAATGCTCCCCTGACCCACTAGACCTAAAATTTAAGAGAGATGAAAATATCACAAGCTGAGACAAAAGAATCCAATGCAGATGTTCATGAACAAATTAAATAGCTTCGTGAAGGATAACTACTCTTATCATCACAATACCAAAAGCCATAAAAGCAAAAGATTCATTAACCAAAATGAAACTTACCCAAACCAAAAGTAATCAACAGCAAGAGCAAAAAAAATAAATGGTCAACACAACACAATCAATTTCTTGAACCAGACAGTAAAAGCGTATCACAGTTATATCATGCTCATGACTCATACTACTGGGGTCCCATGGGGACCTACATAAAGTCAAAAAATTGAAATAAATGCCCCTACTAGAAACAGGACAAAAAAGGCAAATTTAGGCTCCTGAGAGGGCATTATTATAATTTATGATGTCAAGCTTCCCCCTCCATTGTGGCCGAGAAATGAGGGCAATAAGCAGTGTTATTATAGTTTATGCGGGTGGGGCTATCAATTTGAGGTCAAGGACGCAAAAAGAATTTTAAAGAAACGCTCAAACCTGCTTATCTTGTCTACTCAAAAGTAGAGAACACCAGGAATCTGTTTGTTTTCATGGAAAATATTTTCTGAGAAACTTTCGATAAAAGGAAAGATAAACTTCAGAAAACCTCCGAACAAGATCTAAACCAAGCAGAAGCTGGAGTAGCCGTGAAAAGAAGAAGCAAAGTAAATGCAGCTTACAAATTCAACAAAGATAAGATATCACTCAATTGAAAAGGAACCAAAAGTGAAGAGACAAAGTGAAACGTACAACCAACCTTTTAGAGATTCTTTTTTCCACAATTCTACAAAAAAAAAGACAGAATTTTTTTAAGCTTTATGAGCTCCAACTCCAACACACGGTAACCCTTTTCAGTAAAACAGAGTTCAACAGAAAAAAGGGTTTCAAAAGAAGCATCATTACCATGAACAAAAGGGGTAGAACAAACGAAAGCCAATACATGAACAATGCATAGAAAATGCTTAATTTAAACAAAACAAAAAAGCGAGTGGCATTCGGTAGATTCTTACTGCGAATGGGTAAGAATGAGTGTGGTGATGAGCTTTGTTTGATTCAGAATTTTATCGTAAGAAGAAATGAGAGGAAGAAGACAAGATTAGAAATGAGAGCCGAACAGCAGAGAGTGAAGTTGTAAAAATACAAATACGAGCAGTTACCAAGAGAGTTCTATCTTTTATCTTTTTGGGTTCTGGTTGGTTTGGTATGGTTTGTTTGTTTTTGAACAGTATATTTTACTGACCAGTAGAAGAGAGATGTGACAGAGACAGGAGAACCACGTTTGTCTGTAATGAAATATTAAAGCTGAGCAGAGCCGATTTATGATTATATTATCTAATTCTAACGAATGAACCTCAAGAAACATGATGAACATACAAAAAGGAGGTTTTCGATTATAAATTTGTTTTGTGTTTTTTTTTTTTTTTTAAATGTAACAAAGGATTAATTTATCCCGTTAGAATTGAGATAAAATTTTTGATACCATGTTATAATTGAAAGGGTAAAAGAGATAATAGAAGAGAATCGTAATATGTTCGAAAAATATTTTTGAAATGACAAGAGAAACAACTTAAAGGGTTGGAATATATCGGATAGATATCTGAAATAAATTTAATTTAATTGTATTAAGTTATTATGAATGGTAGGTAAATACACAAAAGTATAGAGGCGGATCCAACCTAGTTTTGGCCCACCCTCAAATTTTTGTTTTTAAATACTAATATGTACAAATTCTGAATTTTGGCCCATCCTAACAAAATATTAATATACAATTAATTTTTATTTTGATCTATTCTAACATAAATTTCTAGATCCATCACTGCAAAGTGTGATAAAAGATAAAAAATATTATAATAATGATATAATATCTGCAGTAAGTAAAATAGAATAATATCTAAAATATAATGAGAATGAGAATATGTCGCATATCAACATATACAGAAATGAGACTATATTAGGAAGTAATAAACCATTTCACTTTCCCAACCTCTTTCAAATACCTGAATTAAATATTTCACCTAATCTAAAGAAAATCCATAAGGCCTCTCATGGAAAGGACCATCCTAGCTAACTGACTTCTCACGTTCTTTGAAAGAAAATGAATGCAACACATTCAATTCAGTTAAAACTTTCAACCAGAAACTAGATTTAGAAACTTAAAATGTCATTTTCTGAAGACCTAAATTTTTCACCAAGAAAGCAACATTGAGTGTTACCTTTAAGTTGCAAAAACTTTAATGTTTGGGCTATTATACTATTACAAACTGATCTCCAAGATTCAGCAATGCTGTCAAATTATGTAATAATAGCAACATTTGTTAATTTCATTAAATCAAGTACCTCAGCCACTGGGCTTCTGGGTGTCCTGCGTTCAACAACCTTAGGGCTTCTCTCTTTTGGTGTCCTACAAGTTTGACTTGATGAAGACGCAGACTTGGACTCTAATGCAGTTGTATTCAGTTGCCGTGCAGCTCGAGGAGAGACCTTCAGTGGGACTTCTGAAGAGCCACTTCTACAAACAAAACCATATGGCAACAATCAGGAACACACAAAAAGAGAACAGGATTCACATAAACAAGTCAGATACCATCCATTTATGAACAATGGGATCAGCTAAGAGTCTATCGTTTGGCATGAAATTGGTACGCAAATTATAATTCTCTTGAAAACAGAGGATGCCCGTTCATCCAGTCACCTTAACTCATTATAATCCAAATATTCCACTATTCCCATGAAAATCAATTCTCTCTCATACAGTTTACAATAGCCATTTGTTACATATAAGTCATACAACTGAGTGTAACTTAATAAATGGTTTTTAGTCAATCAATATCACAGATCCCAAAAAGATAAAGAAAAAAACAAGATCTCAAAGTTCAGGTAAAACAAAAGCATTACAATTGCAGCAAGAAAACTCAAATGACAACTTTTGATCCCAAGTTCAAATCTGAGAATGTTTCAACAGGATAATTTGATAAGACATGATTACAAAAAAATATATATATATATATATAATAATAATAATTAGCCATCATACAAACAGACACAAATTTAATTAGTTTTATCATAGTATGCAGCCCTTCATGTTACCATAACTCCATCTACGAGTCCCACCAATGTGGTCCTGCACACCCTCAAGTTAATGCAAGAGACAAGGGTATATCATAATCTTTGTTTTGATGCTGAAACCAAAAAAAATTGCAGTTCATGACTCTTTAAACCGACTATGCTAGTGGTAGCTTGATAGTGAAGGTTAAATTGTGAAACTTATATTTCACCACTCAGGAAAAGCATGATGCATGTTTGGATAATTCCAGAGAAAAAACTAAATCAATTATAAAGGGGTGAAGAGTATCAAGGAGAGGCTCAAGCAACCAGAATACAAACAGATATGAACAGCCATCAATTTCCAGCAGAGAACTTTACTGTACACCTTTCACATTCATGGAACCAAATTACCATATATAGGAAGATAAGATAATAATTCACAACTTGCCTTATTCAACATAACAACAAAGAAGAGAGAGAGCCTTCATAAAGGCGTCAAGGGTTACCTTGTTTTGGGAGTCTGCATAATGTGAATGATAAACCTTCTAGGCAGAAAAGTGAAAATAAATGGAGTAATTTTAGCTTCACCAATTCAATGCTCCCCTGACCCACTAGACCTAAAATTTAAGAGAGATGAAAATATCACAAGCTGAGACAAAAGAATCCAATGCAGATGTTCATGAACAAATTAAATAGCTTCGTGAAGGATAACTACTCTTATCATCACAATACCAAAAGCCATAAAAGCAAAAGATTCATTAACCAAAATGAAACTTACCCAAACCAAAAGTAATCAACAGCAAGAGCAAAAAAAATAAATGGTCAACACAACACAATCAATTTCTTGAACCAGACAGTAAAAGCGTATCACAGTTATATCATGCTCATGACTCATACTACTGGGGTCCCATGGGGACCTACATAAAGTCAAAAAATTGAAATAAATGCCCCTACTAGAAACAGGACAAAAAAGGCAAATTTAGGCTCCTGAGAGGGCATTATTATAATTTATGATGTCAAGCTTCCCCCTCCATTGTGGCCGAGAAATGAGGGCAATAAGCAGTGTTATTATAGTTTATGCGGGTGGGGCTATCAATTTGAGGTCAAGGACGCAAAAAGAATTTTAAAGAAACGCTCAAACCTGCTTATCTTGTCTACTCAAAAGTAGAGAACACCAGGAATCTGTTTGTTTTCATGGAAAATATTTTCTGAGAAACTTTCGATAAAAGGAAAGATAAACTTCAGAAAACCTCCGAACAAGATCTAAACCAAGCAGAAGCTGGAGTAGCCGTGAAAAGAAGAAGCAAAGTAAATGCAGCTTACAAATTCAACAAAGATAAGATATCACTCAATTGAAAAGGAACCAAAAGTGAAGAGACAAAGTGAAACGTACAACCAACCTTTTAGAGATTCTTTTTTCCACAATTCTACAAAAAAAAAGACAGAATTTTTTTAAGCTTTATGAGCTCCAACTCCAACACACGGTAACCCTTTTCAGTAAAACAGAGTTCAACAGAAAAAAGGGTTTCAAAAGAAGCATCATTACCATGAACAAAAGGGGTAGAACAAACGAAAGCCAATACATGAACAATGCATAGAAAATGCTTAATTTAAACAAAACAAAAAAGCGAGTGGCATTCGGTAGATTCTTACTGCGAATGGGTAAGAATGAGTGTGGTGATGAGCTTTGTTTGATTCAGAATTTTATCGTAAGAAGAAATGAGAGGAAGAAGACAAGATTAGAAATGAGAGCCGAACAGCAGAGAGTGAAGTTGTAAAAATACAAATACGAGCAGTTACCAAGAGAGTTCTATCTTTTATCTTTTTGGGTTCTGGTTGGTTTGGTATGGTTTGTTTGTTTTTGAACAGTATATTTTACTGACCAGTAGAAGAGAGATGTGACAGAGACAGGAGAACCACGTTTGTCTGTAATGAAATATTAAAGCTGAGCAGAGCCGATTTATGATTATATTATCTAATTCTAACGAATGAACCTCAAGAAACATGATGAACATACAAAAAGGAGGTTTTCGATTATAAATTTGTTTTGTGTTTTTTTTTTTTTTTTAAATGTAACAAAGGATTAATTTATCCCGTTAGAATTGAGATAAAATTTTTGATACCATGTTATAATTGAAAGGGTAAAAGAGATAATAGAAGAGAATCGTAATATGTTCGAAAAATATTTTTGAAATGACAAGAGAAACAACTTAAAGGGTTGGAATATATCGGATAGATATCTGAAATAAATTTAATTTAATTGTATTAAGTTATTATGAATGGTAGGTAAATACACAAAAGTATAGAGGCGGATCCAACCTAGTTTTGGCCCACCCTCAAATTTTTGTTTTTAAATACTAATATGTACAAATTCTGAATTTTGGCCCATCCTAACAAAATATTAATATACAATTAATTTTTATTTTGATCTATTCTAACATAAATTTCTAGATCCATCACTGCAAAGTGTGATAAAAGATAAAAAATATTATAATAATGATATAATATCTGCAGTAAGTAAAATAGAATAATATCTAAAATATAATGAGAATGAGAATATGTCGCATATCAACATATACAGAAATGAGACTATATTTAACATGTTTATTATAAAAGAGTATTTTAAAATATATATACATTTTTTCACGTATTTATCTGAAAATAATATTTTAAAAATTACAATATTATTAGTTAAAATCACATTTGACAGTAGAATATAGTTAGAATGGATCTTAATTAATTTGACCTACAAAAAGAATGGTATACAACATAATGTAAATCCAATAAAATAATCTAGTGCGACAAATAAATTAAATTTTAAGTTTTATGTAAGTGTTTTAAGAGATAAAATGTAGAATATTTTCGGCTCTGTTTGGTTCATTATTATAATACTTTTTAGAATAATAGTTTGAAAAAAGTAAAATTAGATGGGTATTACGATGTAAGATTTAAAAATTAACAAAAATACTCCCTTATGTTTGTTTATTTACTAAACACCCCTATAATAAAATATTAAAAATTAACAAAAACACTCCCAATCCACCCATTAAATACGAACAGCCGGCCACCACCGTCGAAGGGTGGCTGGACCTGTATCGATGCACGACCAGCTGGATCTAACCAATCGTGCATCGATATGACCCTTTCCGGCCAGATCTACGGCCAAAGATCTGGCTTGCCGCATTTGGTCGTCAACAACGATCAAAGATACGGCCGTCATTGATGACTGACTACGGCCAAAGATCTGGCTGTTGACGGCCATATCTTTGGCAGTAGATCTGGTCGGAAAAGACTAGATCAGTGCACTATAGGTCAGCTTTCGACAGTGATAGTCGGAATCCGGTAAATGTCGGTTGCTGGGGTATTTTTGTTAATTTTTTTATAAAAAATTGGGAGTGTTTCTTAAATTAACAAATTTAGGGGGTTTAAAAAAAATTGAATAATATAGAATAATATTTTGAGAATAAGAGAACCAAAGACTAATTTTCTCTTTAACTTTATTAGGAAAATCAGAATAGTATTTTAAAGATTGTACCAAACGGAGCTGAATCATTTTTCTTAAAAAAAATTAATGAATAAATATTCATTTTATGAAAAGAAAAAACAAAAACGTAAACCAACCATATTTAATATTTTACACTCGATGAAGAAAAAAAAAAAAAAAGGGGAACAAAAACAGACAGGCAGTGGGAATAATGATTGATTGAGGCCAGACGGGTCAATGGGGGCAAGATTATTAAGAAATACATCATATAGTATATCTTATGTTTTCAAAACCTACTCCAAGTTTTATTAAATTGGACCATCTAATCAAAGGTTTAAATAAACTTTGTTCACATGCTGAAGACTTGTAGGGCAGTGGGGTGGTGGTATGAGACAATAAGTCAAAGATTCAATTCACCAACTCTTGCAATGGCTTGATGTGGTCTCTATATTATCGTAATCATAATGCCCCCTTTAAGAGCTTCACAATATGTGGGATGAATTAATAACGCTTGCTTTCACATAGTATTTCTCCTTGTTATGTACTTAATTATGTGTATTGAAAAGTGACAACTCATAAATAGAGATGGTTGTCATTGCTCTTATTTCTTCATGAATTTTGATNGAATAAAAAAAACAAAAAGGGAAACAAAAACAGACAAGCAGTGGGAATAATGATTGATTGAGGCCAGACGGGTCAATGGGGCGGCAAGATTATTAAGAAATACATCATATAGTATATCTTATGTTTTCAAAACCTACTCCAAGTTTTATTAAATTGGACCATCTAATCAAAGGTTTAAATAAACTTTGTTCACATGCTGAAGACTTGTAGGGCAGTGGGGTGGTGGCATGAGACAATAAGTCAAAGATTCAATTCACCAACTCTTGCAATGGCTTGATGTGGTCTCTATATTATCATAATCATAATGCCCCCTTTAAGAGCTTCACAATATGTGGGATGAATTAGTAACACTTGTTTTCACATAGTATTTCTCCTTGTTATGTACTTAATTATGTGTATTGAAACGTGACAACTCATAAATAGAGCTGGTTGTCATTGCTCTTATTTCTTCATGAATTTTGATGGTGGTATTATAAGTTTTTATGAAAAACCACGTGGTTCCCTTTATTTAGACTTCGTTTGGTTTATTATTAGGTAGTTTTTAGAATAATCTTTTGAAAAAAGTTAAATTGAGTGGGTATTACGATGTAGAATTTTAAAAATTAACATAAATACCCTTTATGTTTATTTATTTACTAAACACCCCTATAATAAAATATTCAAAATTAACAAAAACACTCCTAATCTACTCATAAATACGGACAGTCGGCCACCACCGCCTGAGGGTGGCCGGAGTTGTCGTATCGACTTATGACCGGTTTGATCTTGCCGGCTAGATCTGGTCGCATTTGGTCGTCAACGACGGCCAAAGATACGACCGTCGTTGATGGTCAACGACGACCATATCTTAGCCGTTGTTGATGGTCAACGACGACCATATCTTAGACGTTGTTGACGACCATATCTTGGTCGTCATTGACGACTGTCTATGGCCAACGGCCAGATCTTTGGTCGTAGATCTGACCTTTTCCGACAAGCTTTCAACAGTGGTGGCATCTTTACAGCGACGGCGGTGGCTGTTGACGAGTGATAGTGGCTTGGGTGGGTGGGTGGGGGGTGTTTTTGTTAATTTTAAAACTTTTATTGAAAAAGATAAGTGTTAATGTTTTGAGTTGAATAACATATAATTGAATTTTGAAAAATATTTAAACAAATACATTTTTTTGTTTTTTATGATAGGATAGTGGAACATGATAGTGGGAAAGTAGTTTGCCAAATGTAGGGCATATCTTGAATTCATATAACAATCATATATATAAATACAAAGGAAATAAAAGTAGTTATGATATATATATGGGGATTGCAAAGTTATTGAAAGGGATGTACATTAATGGAAACTTCCATAATCATGGTCCAAGATTGACCATACGATATGAGCCCCCTTGAAACATGATCCAAGGAGGTAACAAATGATAAATTGTGGTTTGAAAAATGCAATGCCTAACAATAGTATTTGGGTTTTATATTTACAATTACATATCTAAGATTTACCTATAGACCTTAAACTCAGACTAAAAAGGGTGAATCATGATATCCCTCTTAGTGAATTACCTAAAAAAGTAATATAAAGCATTAATTGAACATATGCCTCAGAAAAATAATTCTACAATTTGGTAGAAATGAACATTCAATTCAATGGAATATTAGGAGGCTGTACCTTCAAGCCTAGCGTAATAAATGATGATATATTTTTCAAAAATATGTAGCATTGATCGTGGACCATATTGTGTATGAATTGGTTGGGTTATTTTGTGGTTGTTTGCGGTTTGCAGTTAGGCACGGCCCTAGCTTTGTATTCCACATGCTACTCTATATATAGTTTTAAAACCAAGACCCGAGGGTAACCCGTTTGCTACCTAGGTCACGGGTCAACCGATCTAACCAATAACATCAGCGACAATTTTATTTTAAAAAAATATATATATTAATCCCTCAAATTTTAATATATTACAAAAATTCCCTTGAAAAAGTTTATTAGTCCCTAAATTTTTTATTTATTTCCAAAATACCCCCCAAAAATTACCAATTAATCCCTAAACTTTTGACATATCTGCAAAACCCCCCATACAATTAAAATTAACCTTTATAATTTTGAAATATTACAAAAACCCCTAAGATCTGAACCGGACCGGGGAAACTGTCAGGTCCTGGCTGATCCTATCCCCTTTTTAAAACAGAGCCTACCATTCAAAAATCTCACTATTAATTTCATTTTAGAATATTCACTATTAACAATAGAAACTTACGGAATGATAAATACTTAAAATGAACCCCAAAATAGTACACCAAAATAACACAAGGCGAGCAAAACCGGAGAAAATTAGGGGAAAAGACAATTGAAAAATAATACGGCGTGGCGGCGTGCATGAGGAGCACTAACTGAAGACCAATGGTTACTGTTCATGTCATCAATTGATATTTTGCTTGTGTTTATTTGTAATGAAAATTTATTTATATCACTCTGCATTGAACTCGAACCCATCAAATTAAGGTTTGAGTATTTTAGAACATACTCAACTTTAAGCCAAACCCAAGACGTCTGCGTTTGGAGTTGGAATATGTTTGATTTGAAGTGAGCTGATTATATATTATTATCCAAAGCTGTTTTAATAATCAACGATTTGGGCTTTCTTAATCAACTACCAGAGGCCTACTTTTCTTGGTTCGAGTGGCCACTTAATGCGAGGGCTAAGCATGAACCAATATCGGATCCACTATTTGGTTAAATTAGCCTTATGCTACAGTATAGACATGCC